CAAAGCTTCATTTGTGCATGCATGGGATTTAGGTGAAACCATTCCACCCCGCCACCAAAGCCACCGCCAAAGTCAGTGTGCAGAACCAAAAAGTAGGAAGAGGTGGTATAATAGAAGGGCTACTCCTAAAATCCACTCTCATGTCTACGGTTTCAAACATGTTCAACTCCAGATTGTTCCAGCTGCACCACAGGGCCAGTTGTTCAACTTCCTATCTATATGCAGACTCATCACTGTCTCAAATGAGGCGAATGATTGTTTTTTTTTATAAGATTGTATTGATTTTTTCCATACATACAGTAATAATTTTTCAACCAACATGCTGTCTGGGTTTAAATACGCTAATACATATTTAATTCCTAATCCTTTATTCTTTCTCTAACCATCGGTAAAATAAGTCCCAAGTTTGATAATATTCTGTTTCTTCTTTTTCTTTCAGTCTCATAGTCAGTCTGTCCATCTCTGCGCATTCTAGTATTTTTTTAATTATTTCTTCATCTGATGATCTTCCTTCATTTTTCCAATGTTGCGCAAATATTATTCTTGCCACTGTAGTGACGTGTAAAATCAAATATAGGCTTTGTTTATTAATCTTTTCTGGCATTATACAATAAAAAAGTTCAAGTTTAAAATCTACATGTTCTCCCAACATCTTTTCTAACCAAGTATGTATCTTTTTCCAATAATTCTTTACTTTATCACATGTCCACCAAACATGATAATACGTGCCTGACTTGTGTTTACATTTCCAACATCTATCTGACATATTTTTAAACATTTTTGCTAATCTTGTTGTTGGCAGGTGCCATCGATAGAACATTTTATATAAATTTTCTTTATAAGAAGTTGACATTGTCAGTTTATAATTTCTTTCCCATAAATTTTGCTATTTTTCTAATTCTATATTGTATCCAAAATTTTTCGCCCATCTTATCATTGTTTCTTTAACTTGTTCGCTTTCCATTTCCAAAGTTAATAAAAATTATACATTTTCTTAATTAATTTCTCATCTGAAGTTAACAAAGTCTTATCAAATGCCGTTTGTTCTTTATAAAATCCATACAGTTTAACATCTTTTTCATATCTAGTTTGCATTTGTAAATGTGCCCACCACGACAAGT